CCCAGGCAGGAGACCTAGTAGCAACGCAAGCTCCAGCGCCCTCAGGGCAGGAGTCATACGTCAACACTTCTCCAAGCCAACCGCGGGACCAGTCTGAGCGAATAAGGGGCATGAGGCAGAAGAAAGCCTCGAGCTCCTCACGTGCTGTTGGCCACAATGGAGCCCACGAGCGACGGCGCCGCCGAGCGAACTTGTAGACCGAGGCGAAGCAGGAGAGAAGAGGGCGCTGGAGCATAGCGAGGTAGGTGCAGTGGCCCAGAAGAACCTCGAGGGCTTTTTCCCGTTACCGTGGGCGCCTTCAAGAACGCCTCCAGAGACCAACGAATCTTCCAGTATCGCTTCCCAGCGGGCCTGAAACACTTTAGTTCGCCGTTGAACTCGATCCCAAGAGCGCCCCGAACTTGGCCTGCCTCCTGGACTTCGCGGCACTGCAATTTGTTGGAGTTAAGAACGTTCTTGATGTTAGCAAGCGACTTCTGGACCTCAATCTTGTCCGCCCCCAAGACCCCCACGTTGTCCACATACGCGTGAACGACGGGCGCGGAGTCCTTACTTATGATGAGCCCGCCCCCCCTGTCCTCCACCGCCACAGGGCCTTCCATTCCTGAAGCCTCCCGAACCAGGCGAGTATTGATACGCTGGGCCCAGAAGACCGACCAAGAGAAGCCCATGGGGAACACAGCCATGGCGGCCCACGCGAGCCCGTCTCCAGGAACCCCCCGTCCCCGAACATGTGCCAGACCTAGCTCTCGTGCGCGGACGGGGGGTAAGCAGAAATAATCGCCCAATTCGCTGTCTATACCGATTCTGCGAAAGCAATTGCCCACGTCGAGAGACGCCTCAAAAAGCTCAACGCCTCCCTCAACTTCCAGGCGAGCGAAACTCTCGGGCGTGGCCAGTAGAGTACTAGGAGGATCTCGGAAAAGCTGATTAGTACGTATTGCATCGATGATAAGCCGCTGTCTTCCATTCTTTTTTCTGACAAAGAACGGGGTCGCAATCTCTTTGGGCGGAGTCGACCACCTGATGAGACCACGCATGTGCAACATCTTCAGAAAGCGTACGTACTCGTGCCGTCGAGTGCGAAGCTTCTGGTCAAAATACGGGTTAATAGACTCGCCGTAGTCTCTCATTTGCATCACTTCCTTCACATCTCTCATCATGCCCCCCCTAAAGTTCACCACCGCCTCCCTGTCCTCCTGAGAAACCAAGTCCTGAAGTGACCTCCTGTCCTGGACTCCTTCGGGCAGAGAGACGAGGGCTCGATCGAACTCGACGACCGTGGAAGCTGCGTGGTCATAACCACGCTTGCTCTGGAGGAGCTCGCGCACGGCCCCCTCCTTATCCAAAAAAGGCGGCACAGGCGGCTGTTGGGCAACTCGTCCCGCGACAAAATCATGAATCTCGCCCGCCACTTCTTGGCGAACGAGAGGGCTCGCAGCTCGGGAATATAGCCAATTGAGGCCCGTCAAAACCTCCCCGAACTCCCGTGACTGATGGCTCCTGAGGTTCGCTCTCCGTCTGCACCTTCTCGAGAGACGCGTCGACGGAGGAGCTGATCGGTCGCAAAACTCGAGCGGAAACAGCGGCACCTGTCGTGCCTCCTGCGCATCACTCTCGCCTGTCAGCGCGCATGCCGCGCGGCGACTGCGGCGCGCGCTATCAATGGTCTTGCTGGCAATGAAGGAGGCCTCACTCATCCTTGCTATCTTCCTTGTCCTCGCCCTTCCCAGCGGACTTCCCGCGCTCGAGGGCGACCTTGGCCCCGTCCCTCAGAGCCTTGGCCTTGCTAGTCTGCTTGTCGATCTCCGCCCCCTCTCGCACCTCCTTGGCCACGTAGGTGCGAAGCGCCGGCGCCGCAAGCTGAGCACGGCGATTGTAGCCCGAGAACTTATCAGCAATCTCGTAGTTCGGGTTCCTGGCATTCTTACCATGAGCCTCAAGTATAGTTTGCCATCTCCGCCCCAACCTCTCGAAGGCCGCGAGCGAAACCACATTAAGCTGATCGTAAGAGATAGCCAGCTCGAAAACCTCCGCCATCACCCGCATCTCATGAATAGAGCGATCGTTATCGCTCCAACCCGCCGTCTGGAGGTGGCGCTGCAGCCAGAACGTGGGCACCATCGCGAGCCGAGCAAAAGACATCATCAACCGCAAGAACGTGCGAGGATCATCCAAAGGCCAGTCCGAGAAGGCGTCCTCGACCATCTCCTTGACCGAGTCCACCCAGACGCGCTCCCTGCGGTTGAAGGCGTTGAACTTCACCGACAGCGCGCGAACGTCCTCGTCCGTCTTCTTGTCAGGCTCCTCACCCGTTCCAGGGAGCTGTGGGCCTGCAAGAGCCCCGCGAAGGGCCTGGAGGCCTGTGGGCGAGCCAAGGGCTCCCTCTCGCTCCTCGGGCGTGCGAGTGCCTCCCAGGCCCACCAGGAGCAGGTTCTTGCGGCCCGCGAAGTAGCCGTCGATCTCCTCCACCTTGATCCGCTCGAGCGCCGCGACGACCGAGCCAAACTTGGCAAACCCGCGGTTCCCCAGCCTGCTCGCCACGGACTCCTTGGCGACCTGAGTGCCGATCCTCGCAACCTCCTGGTCCCCGTCGAAGACGGGCTCCGACGCGACCCAGACCCCGTCACTCCCAAGAGCATCAGCAGGGCCAGCCTGCCCATCTGCATGCGGCGGCAGAGGAGGAGCAGGTCCTCGTGATCCAAGGAGGGGCCGACGGAAGTTCCTGATCGCGAACGTGTCATCTTGCACTCTCGCGTGAGCGATCTCCTCGAGCCCTTCGTCGACGATGATCTGCGACGCCTCGGCCCGAAGCTCCGTGAACATGTCCCAGGGAACCTTCTGATCGAAGCGATAGATGGGCCTAGGGAAACTCCTTGGCACAGTGCGACCCTTCAACAGCTCCACTCTGATGGGCCCGCGATCTCCCGTGGTGTCCCACTCCTCCGCATAGACATCGAAGTCAGGCGAGGCCCCAACCCAAATACGTCTGTCATCCAGTGACTTAACTTCCCTCAACAAAATCCGCTCATGACCATAATCGTCCCCTTCGTACCAGTAGATGGCATAGCCACCTGGCAGAGCCTCCACGGCCCCCGCCATCACTGTTCAATGCGACCGTACCCTCCTCGACGAGGGGCAGCCACACGACGAGGACAACAAAACCGAATGAGCAGACCTCCGACCGCTGCTCCGAGAAGCACTCCCAAGAGGCCGATGTTGGCAAGGGAGACGGTGTCGTCCGTGGGCGCAACGAAGCCCGTCCTGTTGAAGAAATCAGGCGGCACCTCACACACGGGAGGACGTTCCAACGGCGGCGGACACACACAGTCAGGAGCCTTCGGACACTCCGAAGGCCGAGGGCAATCACAGAAACAGTCTGGGCACTGGTGTCGTGCGGAAAGTGAAGCTAGCGAAGCGAGCTCCCTCGCAAGTCCGACTGCGAAGAGACCGATGCCAACCCCTGGCCTCATGCGTCTGAACCGAAAAATTAATTACGAGCGCGCATAGATCATTCACGTATAACTCACATCATCATCATCATCATCATCACCATCCTCAGCATCCTCATCATCCTCGCCATCATCAACATCCTCGCCCTCGTCCACATCGTCAGTATCGTCATCATCAACGTCAGTATTACCATCTTCATCGTCCTTCTCATCATCAGCATCAGCATCATCATCATCAGCATCATCATCACCATCACCATCATCATCACCATCACCATCACCATCACCATCATCATCATCATCATCATCATCATCATCATCATCATCACGGTTTTGCCAAACTTGGTGACACGAAGTGCCACACGTGACGGCCTCCCATCCCCCATCGAACGGCCGCCACTCAGAGTGCTGGTCGGGCACGGTGGCGGGACTTGCCAGAGGCAGCTGAACATCTATTTTCGCGACTATTTGGGCCCCGAGGGAGCTCAATATGGCTCCAAGAGGCACGTAAGATTACTATAGTCGGCCTCTGTGCTTCACCATATTTGCATCCGCTCCCCTTCTCCCGACAACTCGCCTGGGGCATCGTTTCTGGATCGGCTGGTAGCGACATGCAAAACGCCATTCACGGTGAATCGTCACACTAACGACGAAGAACATTGCTGCCTGATCACAAACTGCGACGAAACGGAGCAAAACAATATGCACAACAAACGAATCCAATAAAAATGATGAATGATGAAACGGTATATTCATCCACATAAAAACGCATGAAAATGGCGACGACACGAGGAGAACGTGGGAAAGGGGGGCTCGAGGAAACGTGATACGACGGAACGGGCACCGTGGGCTAGCGAACAGAAGGGGAGGCGATAGGATGGGAGGGGATGGCGAAAGGGATAGGGGGCGACATGTGAACCCTACGCCTACCCCCCACGATTTATCAGGGGGAGGGTGGGGTTCACTTCGCTCGGCGAAGTGAACCCCACTTTCCCCCTCCGAAATCGTGGGGGGGGGGTAGGCGTAGGGTTCGCAAGTGGCCCCTAAGGGAGGGACGGAACATATTGTAGAGGGCCGAAGCACCACCCGCACAATAACCACTGCTGCAAATCGAGATCCTTCTGCAAACGTGCTTTGATGAGGAACCGTGCAGTAAAGGCATTTTTGCAAAAGACGCACGCTCGTTCCACAAACGCCAATCATCAGGGTGTGGTTGGTGCTTCCGCCCTCAAGAACTTGGAGGGAGGGTGGGAGGGAAGGGGGAGCGGTCCTTGTGGATGGGAAGGGAGGAGGAGGAGACGAGCGACGAACGCACGTCCCCAACGTCCCAACGCGTCGGGGCGCGGTCCTGCTAGGAACGAGGCGGTGGTGCCGTGGCGCCGAATGACTAGAAAGACAAAGCAACGCGGCTTGAGCATGGTGCAAAAAAAGACGGGGGAGAAGCAACAAAAGAATTAGACAAGGACGGACACAAGAAACAAGGGCCGATTCTAGAACAGGAAAAACGAGAGGAGACGAACTCGGGGAGGGGAAGTGACCGGACAGTGCCTTTGGAGCCTCGGCGTCCCCGACAATGATGGCCTCCTTGGGATCGACCTCGAAGGGTCCCGGGAGTTCGGGCAAGATGAAGTAGTCCTCCCGAGGGAGCGAGCACACCGTGGCACGGTCAACTTCGGGCGAACTGCGGTGTCCTCCTCTCCCATATTATCCGCCCCCTTCCCCGTCAACCTCCTGCTCCTCTCCTCTCCTTCGTCCTCCGGGTCCTCATCGCTCCCTTCATCCTCAGCGTCCTCCTCTTTTCCTACTCCTCCCCTCCACCAGATTTCTTCCTCATCCAACACTTCCTCCTCCTTCTCCTCCCATCCCCCTCCAGCACCGATTCTCCTCCTTTTCTTCCTCTTCCTCCTCCTCCCCCTCCTCCTCCTCTTCCCCCTCAAGGAGAACAACTATCCAGGCGAAGGACTCAACCATACGCAGTTGTAAGTACCGCGGCTGTGAGCATCGTCAAAAGGTGGAGGTTGCCATAGGGTGGGGCCATGAAGCGTGTGAGGGTTGAACCAAACATGTTGCGGGCGTTGCCACAAGACTTTCACTGGGGCTCCCCATGAGGCAACGAAGCGTGTGAGGGATACGCCGAGCTGTGCGCGGTGGTGCCGAGCGGGCCTTTGGTGGGGTCCCCTATGTGGGAGATAACGCGATTCACGGGCGCTTGCCATGGGAACATTCGGCGGCGCGTTGCGAACCGGGGGGTGAGCCCCCCCCAACACTCGGCGCCGTCGAACAAAACCAAGGGAACTCCCCTCCCCCCAAGCCCCCCCCCCCTTCCGACCCCCCCCCTTCCCAAGGGGTGTGTGGGTTCCAAACCCCACCCAACCCCTGGCGCCGGCGCTGGCGCTGGCGGCCGCCAGCAGCGCCGACGGCGGGGACGCAGCGACGATGACCAGAGGCAGGCCAAAGGGGGGGGGTTCAAACCCCCCCGCCCCGCCCCCCAGCGCCGGGGGGGGGGTTCACCCCCCCCCCCTCGCGCCGGTGCCGGCGCTGGCGGCGTCCAGCAGTGCCGCGCTGGCGCCGGCGACGGCGGGGACGCAGCGACGATGACCACCACTACCACCACCGCCACCACTACCACCACCACCACCGCCTCAACCCACCACCACCACCACCACCACCACCACCACCCCACCACACAACCACTACCACCACAACCACAGCCACCACCACCACCACCACCATAACTCACCATCACAACCACCACCAAAAAAACCCACCACCACCACCACCACAATCCACCACACCACCACCACAGCCACCACCACTACCAGCAGCACGACTCACCGCCACCACCACTAACCACCACCACACCACCACCACCGCCACCACCACCACCATCAGCACCACCTCCACAAACCACTGCCACCACGACAACACATCACCACCACCACAAACCACCACCACACCACCACCACAACACCACCACAACCACCACCACAACTCACCATCACCACCACCACAAAAACCCACCACCACTACCACTACCACCACAATCTACCACACCACCACAACCGCCACAACCACCACCACTACCAGCAGCACGACCCACCACCACCAGAAACCACCACAACACCACCACCACCACCACCAAGGCCACCACCACCACCACCAGCACCACCTCCACAAACCATCGCCACCATCACAACCCACCACCACCACCACCACAACACCACCACCACACCACCACCAAACCACCACCACCACCACCTTCAACCCATCACCACCACCACCACAAGCCAGCAGCACACCACAACCAAACCACCACCACCACCACCCACCACAACCACCAACACCACCACAACAACGAACCACCACACCACCACCACAACCACCACCACCGCCACCACCATCACCACAACCCACCACCACCACCACCGTCGTCGTCCTCGTCGACGCTGCCCGCCGCCGCCGCCCGCCGCCGCAGGCGCCGGCACCGGCCCAAACAAGGAAATCGTCGTCCCCGCCGCCGCCGCTGCCAGCCGCCGCCGACGCAAGCGCCGGCCCGAGGAGAGGGGACGCAGGGGAGGAAGGGGGGGGGTCCGGTTTCAACCCCCCCCCCCTCCAAGCGACCACAGAAATCGCTCCGTCCTATGTGGCCACGGAACGTGTGAGGGGTGCGCAGAAACGGATGCGGCGGTGCCATGCGAGCGCTGCCACTGGGGCCCTGGGGTCACGAAGCGTGCGAAGGGTGTGCCGAAACGACTGCGGCGGTGCCATGCGGGCGCTGCCCCTTGTGGCCTTCGGTGGGGCTCTCTATGGGGTCATGAAGCGTGTGAGGGGTGCTAGATTTGGCGCGTTGGTGCCATGCGGGCTTTGCTACTGAAAACCTCAGTAGAGTTCTCCCTGTGGGGCTACGAAACGTGTGAGTGGTGTCCCGACATAGGTGCGGTGGTGCTGCGCGGGGGCTGCCATTGTAGCCTTCGATGTAGCTCCCTGAAACCGACGCGGTGGTGCCATGCGGGCGCTGCCCCTGGGGCCTTCGGTGGAGCTCCCTATGGGAAACGAAGCTCCTGAAGCGTGTGCCGAAACACATGCCGTGGTGCCATGCGGGCGCTGCCACTGGGGTCTTCGGTGGAGCTCCCCTTGGGGCCACGAAGCGCGTGAAGGGTGTGCCGAAACGGATGCGGTGGGGCCGTGCGGGCGCCGCCATTGGAACCCTCGGTCAAGCTCTCCGTGGGGCCACCGAAACGTGTGAGGGGTGTGCCGGAATTGGTGCGGTGCTGCCATGCGGGCGCTGCCACTAGCGCTGCTTTCGATATGACTCCCTGTGGGGCCACGAAGCGTGTGAGGGGTGCCCAGAAACGGACGCGGTGGCGCCATGGGGCCATGCGGGCGCTGCCCCTGGGGCTTCCGATGGAGCTCGCTATGCGGCCACGAAGCTCGTGAGGGGTATGCCGAATCATGTGGCGTTGTGCCATGCGGGCGCTGCCAAGGGGGCCTTCGGTGGAGCTCCCTACGGGGCCACGAAACGTGTGAGGGTTGTGTAGAAACGGATGCAGTGGTGCCGTGCGAGCGCAGCAACTGGAGCCTTCAGTGGAGATCGCTATGGGGCCACGAAACGTATGAAGGGTGTGCCGAGACTGGTGCGGTGTTGGCATGCGGGCGCTGCCACAGCTGCCGCGAGAAGGAACGGGTGAAAGGTGATAATGACTACCTACCAGACCACCCCAACCCAACCCGAAGACCCGAATTTCGGGTTGGGGGGGTATGGGCTCCATATGTGTTTTTTCGATGTTCCCAGACCCCCCCCCACTAGAAATCGAGGGTAAATCTGAGCCTTCGGGTTGGGTTGGGGTGGTTTGGTGGGTGGTGGGATAAGAGGACAGGAGGGGGCCATGGCTATAGAATTATCCTGGCGAAAGACCCAACCATAAGCAATTGTTGGTAACGCGTTGTGGGTGCCGCTTTCGGTGGGGCTCCATATGGGGCCACGAAGCGCTGCCTTGGATGGGGGAACCGCATGCGGACTGCGCCACCGGGGCGGGCCTTCGGTGGAGCTCCCTATGGGGCTACGAAACGCTGCCCTGGGTGGGGGAACCGCATGCGAACTGCGCCACTGGGGCCTTCGGTGGAGCTCCCTATGGTGCCACGAAACGCTGCCCTGGGTGGGGGAAGCGCATGCGAACTGCGCCACGGGGGCTTTCGGTGGAGCTCCCCATGGGGCCACGAACGCTGCCCTGGGTGGGGGAACCGCATGCGAACACCCCCACTGGGGCCTTCGGTGGAGCTCCCTATGGGGCACGAAACGCTGCCCTGGGTGGGGGAACCGCATGCGAACACCCCCACTGGGGCCTTCGGTGGAGCTCCCTATGGGGCCACGAAACGCTGCCCTGGGTGGGGGAACCGCATGCGAACACCCCCACTGGGGCCTTCGGTGGAGCTCCCTATGGGGCACGAAACGCTGCCCTGGGTGGGGGAACCGCATGCGAACACCCCCACTGGGGCCTTCGGTGGAGCTCCCTATGGGGCTACGAAACGCTGCCCTGGGTGGGGGAACCGCATGCGAACACCCCCACTGGGGCCTTCGGTGGAGCTCCCTATGGGGCCACGAAACGCTGCCCTGGGTGGGGGAACCGCATGCGAACACCCCCACTGGGGCCTTCGGTGGAGCTCCCTATGGGGCTACGAAACGCTGCCCTGGGTGGGGGAACCGCATGCGAACACCCCCACTGGGGCCTTCGGTGGAGCTCCCTATGGGGCCACGAAACGCTGCCCTGGGTGGGGGAACCGCATGCGAACACCCCCACTGGGGCCTTCGGTGGAGCTCCCTATGGGGCCACGAAACGCTGCCCTGGGTGGGGGAACCGCATGCGAACACCCCCACTGGGGCCTTCGGTGGAGCTCCCTATGGGGCCACGAAACGCTGCCCTGGGTGGGGGAACCGCATGCGAACACCCCCACTGGGGCCTTCGGTGGAGCTCCCTATGGGGCCACGAAACGCTGCCCTGGGTGGGGGAACCGCATGCGAACACCCCCACTGGGGCCTTCGGTGGAGCTCCCTATGGGGCTACGCTGCCCGAAACGCTGCCCTGGGTGGGGGAACCGCATGCGAACACCCCCACTGGGGCCTTCGGTGGAGCTCCCTATGGGGCCACGAAACGCTGCCCTGGGTGGGGGAACCGCATGCGAACACCCCCACTGGGGCCTTCGGTGGAGCTCCCTATGGGGCTACGAAACGCTGCCCTGGGTGGGGGAACCGCATGCGAACACCCCCACTGGGGCCTTCGGTGGAGCTCCCTATGGGGCCACGAAACGCTGCCCTGGGTGGGGGAACCGCATGCGAACACCCCCACTGGGGCCTTCGGTGGAGCTCCCTATGGGGCTACGAAACGCTGCCCTGGGTGGGGGAACCGCATGCGAACACCCCCACTGGGGCCTTCGGTGGAGCTCCCTATGGGGCCACGAAACGCTGCCCTGGGTGGGGGAACCGCATGCGAACACCCCCACTGGGGCCTTCGGTGGAGCTCCCTATGGGGCTACGAAACGCTGCCCTGGGTGGGGGAACCGCATGCGAACACCCCCACTGGGGCCTTCGGTGGAGCTCCCTATGGGGCCACGAAACGCTGCCCTGGGTGGGGGAACCG